GGGGGGGAGAAGTTGTTTGGGCTCCGGCCGCGATGCGTTTTGATTTTAAGGTGAAAAAAAACCAACCCACAACAACATATATTTTTAAAAATCCTAATAATGAAGTAGCAGCAGCTCCAACAGCAGCACCACGAGAGCCTTGGCCAGGGCTAATTGCTCCCCCCAATCCACTGAAGGCCTTCTGCGAAAGGCAAAAAATGGATCGTCTCATCAAATCCCAGGCGGCAAATGCGATCTGCGGCACATTAGGGATCCCCCCCCCCACCGCGGCCACCAGCAGGAACCCCCCGGCTCCCAGGGTTTCCCAGGAATAGCGAGAAATGGCGAGGATCGGCCGAGCACTTATCAGCAGGTTTGTTTGATTTCACTCTTAGGGGGAAGGTTTAATCTCTGCACGCCCAGTCAATGTAAAGGAGCGGATAGACATGAATGGGCAACTTGACCTCTGGTTCTGGTCCCTGTTTATTTTCACTCCGGCTTGCTTTACATTATCCAGATTAATATATATTTAAATGTTTGCATACTCAGGCCTTTAAGCCCTTTTTACACATATGCATATCATTTTCCTATGCTTACCAAAAAAAGGGGGGGGAGGAAAATGCGATAGACTTTATTGAAAAAAAAAATATATATAGACAGATATATAAAGTCAGCAGAGCTCCTAGAAATATCGAGTGGTTCTGTGCTGGAAATAGGTCTTGAAAGTTAATGCTGGGCACGGAGAGGTTAGGGAATGAACTCGAGGGTTTCATCCAGACCTCAGCAATGAAAAATAAAATAATCAAGGGATATTATCAACCGGAGAGATGCCCGTCCCTGTGTGCGGGGGGTGAGGGGTTGTTCCCCGTGTTTTTGTTCCCCGTGTTTTTGTTCCCCGTGTTCCCGCTGCCCCGGGAGCTGCGGCCGCGGCTCCGGCCGAGCAGGAGCTGCATTCCCGGGCAGATCCCCCCCCGGACCCACCGCCCCGGCCGAAGGGGGAAAGAGGAGGGGGAGGCAAAGGAAGGTGTAAAAGGCACTCACAAATCCGTGCTTGTCAGAGATGTTGTTAGTGAGCTTCAGCTTGTGAAAGGTGACGACTTTGGACATCCATTGTTCGCCGGTGGCCGGGCTGTCCGGGTGGATGTACATTCTCTTTGGCATTTCAGGGTCAGCTTTCCCGGCTACCATCCACCGGGAATTATGGAATTTGTACCTACAATCATCAGCCGCCACGATATCCATCAATAAAATGTACTTGGCCTTTTTATCCAGTCCAGTGCACCTCACTTTAAATGGAGGAAACATTCTCCTATGGGCAGAGAGAGGGAGGGGAGCATAAGGGAAGAGACAAGACGAAAAATACAATTAATTACAGCGTTTAAATCAGCTCCTGAAATCTCAGTAGCACCACCAAGCAATCTCTTCAGCCCTCGGAAGCAGAAAGGACGTGTGTGTGTCCCAGCAGAAAAAAAAACCCACCAGCTTCTCCCCCCCCCGCCCACAGCAAAAAGGTTTCTCGAAGGCTGAAAAGTTGCAGGGAAAAATGGTCCCCGGGATGGGAGGCGGAGGGGAGAAGTACGTGTTCCCTCGAAACCAGCAGGCGCCTACCCTCTGCCATTCCTCAACAGCAAAGCCTCATCTGGGGCACTTGGAGCTCTCCTTATTTCCCTTCTTCCCCGGCCAAACAAAGAAACGAGAACAGATCTCCCCCCGAGAAAAGAAATGCTCCCCAATACTCTATCCCACTGCACCGCTGGAGAGCGGAGACGGGAGGGTAGGTTTTTAATTTCTAGAGGAGAAGGAAAAAAACACCCAACCCTCCAGTGAGGGCAGGGTGGCTGCCGTGGCTTTCCCAGGGCTGTAGCCTCCCGGTGATAACCCAGGCGGGCTCCCTGCAAACCCCGCACCCCTCCGCTCCCAAGGCCGGCTTGAAACTGCAACAGGATACCACAAATTTGCTGTTTATTATATCGAGTGTTTGGCATTCAGCAATCTCAACTTAAAAGGAAACACATGACTTTGCAGCATGTAAGAGCTCTTCACACTCGCCGAGGCTTTCGTGCAAAAAATAACTTGACCACAATTAACACAGAAAACTTGGGGAAAGTAGCAAAATGGGCGAGGGGAATTTTTTTTCCCCCCGCTTTTAAGGTTTCTGTTAGGTTGGGGTTTTTTTTTCGTGAGCCTGTAGCCTGCAACTGGTGCTCTGCAAGGAGGTGAAGCTCCAGCAGAGCAGCTGAAGGCCATCGAAGAAGACTTTTCAGGAGTGGCTTCCTCGAGTAATTCTCCTGGCAAATTACACGCGAATTGTTTGGGAGGTTTCTAAGAGAGCCCCTTAAATAAAACCACCGGGCTGAGAAGGGTGGGTTGCTTTTATTTCTCCCAACGTGTCATCGCAGCCGTAGGTAAGAGTTGTAAAAGAGCACGGGTGTCAATGAGTAACGAATTTAGAGAGGGATTTCAGGCGGGTAAACCTATAAAAAGCAGAAATGCCGAGGGTGGACGCGCCGTGGATGTTCATTCATTCCCCCGGGAAGGTTAGAAATACAGAGCCAGCGCCGAGCTGCAAACCCTTCCCTGCCACCCCAGCAGCGGCTGCAGGACCGCTGGGTGTATTTTTTTTTTTTGGGCAGCTTTTTGTGCATTTTCAGGTAGAATTAGGCAGCACAAATGCACGCGGAGATCCCAGCAGAGAGACAAGGCAGAAGAGGAGCAGCTGATAAACTGAGCCTCTCTGCCCTCCCACAGCTCCTGCCTCTCCAGTGGCCGCTCCAAAGCGTTTTCCCTTTATTCCCCCTTTTCCTTAAGGAAGAAAAAACGAGGTTGAAAGCAAGCCAAGCTCCTTTTCCGAGCCCAAATTCTTTTCCTTTCTGCTCCCAGTCCTCCCTAAAAAGTGTTCAGCTGCGGAACCACGAAGGGACCCTCTCGCCCCTGCACACGCCGAGCTGGGCCGGGTCGTGGTTCAGGGCTTGAGTTTTGCCGAGGGTGCCCGAGATGGGCTGGGAGCTCCAGCTGCCTCAAACTTTCCATAATTCCAGATGAAAGGAGCTTTTATGGAGGAATTTAGCAGCGAAAGAGCCTTGCTCCCGAGTAGCCCGGAGAGGTGCAGAGACTGAGGGCCGGGGGAGAGGGGAGGGGAAAGAAAAGAAAAGAATAAGAAAAGGCACCGACCCCCCAAGCCCAGACCTACCTTCCCGATTTGGTAATCACCATCTCCGTGCCTCTTTTATGGAATTGCTCCCAAAGCTCTTTGGCTTCCAGATGCACTTTCGGATCATCTTCCACCTCTTCTTCTGGCTCCAAAGTTTTTAAAGGCCTCAGATGAGCTGCTGCCTGGTGACCCAGGGAAGAAAAGGGGATACCAGTCTCTGCAGCCCCCACTAATTGATCCATGATGGGTTTAGCCAGAGCCCCGGGAAGGGAAAGGGCAGCTGCCCCGTTGGGAGGCAAAGCCAGGGCCGGGAAGAAGGGAGGCTGGTGTCCCAACACAGCGCTCATGGCAAAGTCCGGTGCCCGGTGAGGTAAAAAAGGATGATAAGCCATGCTTGTCCCAGGGATTACTGGATCTCTCATCGGTATATTCATCTACTCCACTCCTCGGTCTTCCTACTGCTGGAGTAGTCCCGGAGTGGTTTCTAACAGCACATCATGAAGAAGAAAAATTAAGATAATAACAATAACAGCGATAAAGCACCAAAAAAAAAAAAATAATAGGGTGGGGGGAAAAACAAGCTCTAGACAGCACAGTACATGGGGGGGAGAGGCAGAACTTCTACAGCCTACAACTTCCCGAGCCGGGGCACATCCCCAGCCCTCGGGACAGCGGATTAACAGGATTGTTCATTATTAGTCTTGCTTTTTGTGTGTGTTCGGTCTCTGCAGGTTTGGGGGTGTTTTTGGTGGTTTGTTTTCCTGAGTGAAAGTCCTTGCGCTGGGAAAGAGACGCCGAAGAAGAGGGGAGGGAAAAAAAAAATCCACCGGGTTCGCTGTCTGCTCCTGTCGCTGCAGAAGGGCTGGGCTAGGCGAGATCCTTTTTTTTCTTCTTCTTCTTTTTTCTCTTAGTCTCAATCCCCTTTCTCTTCTTTCGTGGCGGAGGGTGACGGCTCGAAGCTGGGGTCTCTTTTTGGGGGGTTGGCTTTCCCCCCCCCCTCCCCCCCACCCCTCCACCTTTCCTCCGGCCGGGCAGGCTGCAGAGCAGAGGCTGGGAAGGGAGGGAAAGCAGAAAGAAGCAAACAA